GATACAGAGACTCACTTTGTCACCCTTGGTAGAGTGCTGTAGCATCATAGCTCACAGCAAACTCAATCTCTTGAGCTCAAGTGATTCTCTTATCTCAGCCGCCCAAGTAGCTGGGACTACAGGTGCCCACCACAATGCCCAGCTATTTTTTGTTTGTTTGTTTAGAAGGCCGGAGCCGGTTCAAATCCACCAGGTTCAAATCCACCAGTCCCGGAGCATGTGGCTGGAGTCATAACCACTGTGCTACAGGCACCCAGCTGAGACCTCTTCTTTTAATGGGTGGGACAATCTGGTCTTCACAGTAGGAAACTTAAGATTGATAACAATCTCCCCCATCTTCCCCTTCCTGATTTCTAGGGGGATGTTAAAAATTCTCCCCTCATCTAGAAACAGGGGTTTCTCAAGGGTCCAGGCTCTGGGTGAAGAGTTTTCCTGGCAGAGGCCACAAGCAGCTCTGAACTCACCTGGACTTGGTCACAGGGCACCTCGAAACTGAAAGCCTCATTGTAATAGGGGTTCAGTGTGTTCTTCTTGATGGTAGTTTTTTTCTTCCGCACCTTTTTGCCACCCTGCAGCAGGTGGACCTTGACATACGGGTCTGGGGAAGAGGAGAAGTCTTATAGACCCCTACTGCTGAGTTCTCAGACCAATGTAGAGACCACCTACACACTCCAGGTTTGCTCTCTGTGCCAGAATCTGTCTCCATGGCAACCTGGGTCTCTATCTCCCTCAAGAGACCCTCGGGGTACACAAACTGTCAGAACCAGAGAACCCACCCCACCCCAAACACACCTGACAGTCCTCCTACATCCATCTTCTTCAGGTTTTTGGCCTCCAGGACAATGACCGTGAGCTTCCCGGCCGTAGGGACATAGCGGAGGGAGAAGCAGATGTCTCCTAGTTTCTCTTGCTGAAAGAAGGAGAGGGCCCCATCACCAGAGCCCTGGCTCCTCATCTACTCCTCTCTTTCTTCCCTCTCCCACACCTTTTAAGGGAAAGGCCATTCAGTGGTACAGTTGAAGGGGATGCATGCACTCATCCCTATGGAGCAGGTGACACAGGCCCCAAGGGTCCGGGAGGCTTGTGATCTGACTGGCCCAGGGTGGTGGTGGGCGGTGCCGATCCTGGGGACGAGGCTGAGTGCTCACCTCCTCCCGCGGAGCCGCCTGCAGCTCGCGCCAGGCCTGCACTGGCCGCCCCAGGTCCACGGAGCTCATGGGGACCCGCACCTCCCCGATGGCATCATTGCGGGAGAAGCGGTCGAAGTCGTACACTGACATTACCAGCACCCTGCCCCCAAGCTCCACATAGGGGACCTGCGTTTGGTGGGGGGGCACCGAGAGATCATCAAGAGGGGAGGGTGCCGGCGAAAGAGGAAAGAGAGGAAGTGGGATACAGTATATCCAGGTGGTAGCCATTGAGAGAAGCAGCGAGGGACTAAGCAGTGGTTCTCAACCTTCCTAATGCCATGGCCCTTTAATACAGTTCCTGTGGGTCTCAACCCACAGGTGAGAAACGCTCAAGGGAACAGTTGCAGGAAGGTGCCTATGGAATCCAAAAGGGATGGCCCAAGGACCAAGGCAACAGTCCAGGGGTCAGTAGTGCCCCAGGGAACAATGGGGTCCAGTGGGATAGCCCCCCAGAGCTGGTAGCTGCCACTTGAGTTGTAGCTGGTCCCAGAAAAAGCCAGAGGGGTCAATCTTCAAGATTCTAGGGATTAGGGGCAGGCTGTGGAGCATGGGGCACTGAAGGCAGGAGCTCACCTTGAAGGCAAAGGTCTCCCCAAAGTGTGGGTTCAGCGTCTGCCGATGAACTTTGGTTTCATGCCGCCTCCGCTTGTCTGGCAGCAGGTAGACCCTCACGTAGGGGTCTGAGGAGCCACCCAGGTCCAAGGCTGCTAATCTCTCAGCTTGTAGGATGCCCACCAGCAGCTGCAGATGCCCGGGAATGGAGGGTGGGGAGAGGAACCCCGGTCTTAGCCTTCCTTCCAGGATCTTTTTTTGGAAGGGGCTGGAACCCTTCTTCCACACCCACCTGGCCACTCTGGAAGTCGTAATCAAGTGAGTACTGCAGTCGGCCTAGCTCATGCTTCTCTGCCACCTGCTGCCCCAGCCCGGTTGGTGCTGGTTCTAGCTCCTCCACTTCTGGCTGCACCTTAGGGAGCCAGGGGCAAAGGCAGGTGAAGTCTTCCCCTGACAGCAGTATCTTTCAGGTTCAGAAGCCTAGGGAGGCTCACAGATCCCTTAGGCCAGGCATCCTCAAACTACAGCCTAGGGGCCACATGTGGCCCACCTAGGACATTTATCCAGCCCACTGGGTGTTTTTGCCATTGCTGCCTATCCTGCTTAGCAGCTAACTCATTCCAGGGCCCGGAGTCCAGCCCTCCAAGGGTCTGAGGAACAGTGAACTGGCCCCCTGTTTAAAAAGTTTGAGGATCCCTGCCTTAGGCTATACCTGAGTCAGACCAAGTAGAATCAGTGTTTGATTAGTGATGTCTGCTATGGATGCAGAATAAGTATATACAGTATGCCTAGACTGAGACGACAAGTGCTGATACAGGAATGATGCAGATTTTACTTCACATACTAATGGTTGTATCGGAGTGGTAGCTCAAATTGATGTGTTGATTGGTAAACTTGCTACACCCAAACAGGAAGAAGAAATGGAATATTTACTGTATACTTAGTAATTCTAAAGTAGAACAACAAAAGCAGGTGTCTCCTTAACCTAGGCCAGCAATTCTCAAAATTCAGTGTGATAAGAATTCTCTTGAGGGCGGTGCCTGTGGCTCAAAGGAGTAAGGCACCGGCCCCATATGCCAGAGGTGGCAGGTTCAAACCCAGCCCCAGCCAAAAACTGAAAAAAAAAATTCTCTTGAGTGTCTGGGAAAATGCCTGGGATCACCTCTTCAGGGATTCTGATACTGTGGGTCAGGCTGGATCCAGGGTTTGTATTTTATGGAGAACCTGAAGTGATTCTCATGCAGATGGTCTTTGAACCATCTTAACCAGTGGCTTAAGGGATACAGGTAGGGGCCAGATACTGGGACCTAAATGACATCCCTAATGGATAATAATTATAACAACTATTTATTGAAAGGGAAGAAGGAGAAATACTAAGTTAGTAACCATAAACTTGAGGCTCAGAGAAGAACAGTGAATTTCCCAAGGCCACACAGCTGGGAAATGGTCCCTCTGGGTTGGAAATGTAAGGCTGTCTGGCTCCTAGGGGAGCATTCCACTCTGCACTTAGGGGGTTTATGTTCAGATACTGTGGTATCCTTTTGTTTTCCACTTCAAGGGCCTCTTCCAAAGCACATCTTTCATTCTCTCAGGACTGCTGCACCTGCCCCCACCCTGGTCTCAATACCCCAAATCCGTCCCCCATAAGGGTTCCAGGAATTTATCATAAAGCCCATCTGACCCTGTCCCTCTCCTGCTCAGAAAATTTCTATAGCTCTCAAATGCCTTCCTTATGAGAATACTTTGCTCTGCAGATGCTTTGCTCCAGAGCACAGTATATCTGCACTCCATGCCCCAACTGTTGTGAAAAATGACTCTTTGTTCTTCAAATGTGCCTTAGAATTCAAATATCGGGCCTCAGCACACACTCTTCCTTTGACTACAATATCCTTCTCTCTGCTCTCCATTAACTCTGTCCCTTGGGTTTCAACAAAGAAGTCAGCTACTAGGAAGCCTCTGCCTGACCCTCTGGGAGGCTGGTGCTTTCTCTGCACTCCAATACAACCCTGATCTGCCTCAAATATGGCACATATCAGCCTGTATTGTGAATGCCTGTGTCTCCCTCACCAGACTGGGAAGTTCTTGTGAACAGTGACTAGTTGTGACCCAGATGCAGGTCCCTCAGAGTCCTGCTGAGGGCTAGACACACATCTTATTAGAAGATGAGCCAATAAGGTGGGTTTAGGAGAAAAGGGAGCAGGGACTGAGGCTGGCCCAGCCCTGGAGGGGTTTGGGTGTAAGGGTCAGGGTTGAGGGGCTGGGCCAGGCCACACCTTGTCTATGTAACTCTGGCCCAACTCCTTCACTTCCTGAAAGTGGAGTTGGGCTTGGGCCTGGCTCTTCTTGCCCATCCGCTTCGGACAGCGCTTCCGGTAGAGACAGACACAGCAGCTGCAGACGAGGAGGACTGAGACCAACACAATGGTGGCCAGGGCCCAGGGGGGCACTGCAAGGGGGTGGAGACAACACACATTGAGGCTGTGGGAAGCAGGCTGGCTGACTCAGTATTCAGTACACGTGGAAGCCAAAATCCCAGCTTCATTTTCCCTCCTGCCATTTCCATTCCATTTTTTCCTCATGTTTTCCTTCTAACTGATCAGGCTGACGCCATGAAGATTTGCTTCTTAGTTTCACCTTCCTTTCCACCCCTACTCTAATTCCTGCTCACCCTCTGATGCTTTTAGAAGAAGCCCAGCTCCTCCCTGGGGGTGAATTATCTGTGAAAAAAGGGCGAGGTAGACCTTCCAATTCTGAGATCCCTTCCATGCCACACCCTTGATCGGTTCTGGTTTTTCTTGCAAACCTGTTAGCTCCTTTCTCCCATTCCTTCGCATTCCAGATCAGGATGCCGCCCTAGAACGCAAGCCGGATTTTCCAGCTCGCTAGTCCGAGTACGCCCATCTGGTTCCCGCCCCTGAAAATCCAGGCCTGGCTTTCCCTTCGCTCTGCGCCAGGGTCCCGCTCACCTGAGCTGTGGCTGATGCGGCTGGAGTCCGGCGGCGTGTCGGACGCTGGAGGCCCCGGGGTTGGAGGCTCCGGGAACATGGCAGCGAGGTCCGACAGTTCTTGCTGTGGAGGCACTCAAACGCCCCAGTCTCCCAACTCCCCCCCAAGACATCCATTGACTCCTCCGCACAGCAGAGAACTTCAACACCCATCGTTCCGCGCGCGGCCGCCATGCGCGGACCCAGCTGACACTGTGAAACTTACTGGGAGCCATAGCTTCAGCCTCCCCGCCACTGGGACCGGCATTTTCGAGGGGAGAGGGTCCAGGATCTGGGTCGCTCCCAAAAGGACGCCCCCTCCCTCCAAAGTAACCCCAGGCACCCCACTGACTTCTGCCCTTTCCGCTCCCCGGGACATGGCCCGTAAGTGGGCGAAGGTGGGCGTGGGAACCAGCGAACCGCGTTGCCCAGAGCAACTGCCTGGCTGTACTTGGGCAGGGTGGGAGCAAAGCTAGTTGCCTGGGAAACGGCCTGTTGCCATGACAACGGGCGGGGCTGACGCACAGGCGCCCAGCCCCGGCGGGGGCAGGCTCTCGCCCCGCGCTGTAGGTGCCTGGGACCTCCTGGCCCGGATCCCGGGGTCCCGCGAGGGTGGAAAGGGGGCAGCCTGCGGTCCGCGCGGCCACAGCCAGCTCCTTCCTCCGCGCTCAACCCCTGGAGCTGAGACGCAGTTTCCCTCTTCCCTTTCCTCATTCTTGCTGTGGTGTGGGTGGGCGCGATTCAGCCGGGCCCCCCCATATCCTCCCAGGCCTGTTGATCTCTGCCACGCATCCCGCGCTCTGTCTTCATACATATTCCCTTGGTCCGCCTCTGTCTCTCGACCCCAAATAGGTGTCTTCCCTAGCTGTCTCCCGGGGAAGACAGTGTCTGTGCCGATCTTGCCTGTCGCCTGGCCTCTGTCTCCCAGGACCTCTCCTCCTCCCCCTCCACCCGCTCCCCACCCTCCGGCTCTTTGTTCTCCCCACACCTACTTCGCGTCTCTCCCAGTCTCCTGGTTTTAGGCTCCAGCCCTTCCAATGTTTCCGCTGGTCCCTCCCAGCGTCACCCCCACCGCCACCCTCTGTCCTTCTAGTGATGGACATGAGGATGGGGCTTAGGGAGGGGATCCCAGCAGCTCCTACCTGCACGGCAACGGATCAGGACCTCCCGGAGACAGCTAGGCGCCGGCCCCGCCCGCACGTGGGAGGTGGCGCTGTCCCGGGTACTAACCGTGTAGCTCCGCGGGGCGGGAGTGCGGCTGAGCGGAGCCAAGTCCGAGGGTGTTGGGTGAGTGTGTGCGTGCGTGTGTGTGTATGTGCGTGCATGTGTGTGTGTGTCCGTGTTTGGTCCGGGGGTAGACGGAAGGCCCCACCCTACTCCTTGGTCCGCCCCCACCCGAGAACCCCGGTGACGTCCACTAATGTTTATCCTGATGCCTCAGAATCTTCTGCCTCCTGGTCCAGCCATCAGCCATCCACACTGCTCCCTTTGTCCCTTTGCCTCAAAACACACACACTGTATAGCCCAAAGAACTGGGTGGCAAGATGCCTAGCCCTAGGACCCAAGCAACCCATCTGGAGATACGAGTGTTCAGATATCCATCATAACAGCCCCCAGACATCACCCTCCAATTCCCCCTAACACCAAGGCCCCATGAAACGCATCCCTGGCTGTCCAGATCCTGGATACAAACATCTGGAGCCAGCCTTCCTCTGGGAGACATAACCATCCAAACCTACATTTTTTCAGGTGCACACTGGTGGATCCCTCTAATTCCTGCCCTGAGATGTTTGCTTCTGTATCTAGATATCAGAAACTCATCCCCACCCCAATATCATTTCTAGACCCGTCAACCCACTACAGCAACCATCTCTGGGGAGAACAGTGATTTAATAAATTATGGGATAGAAGGGAAAATACATACAGATGTGAGGTTCAGGGAGACTTCAGGCAAGGGAGCTCCCTCCAACCCCAGGTCTTAGAAGACTGATTTCTTTTCTGATGTGAAAGTGGGGCAGGATCTTGCCTGCTCTTGCTCCTTGGGTGGCCAGAATTCCAGACCCTAACTCCTTCCTTCCTTGGAATCCAGGTTCCAGCCTCATTCTTCCTGTACCCCTCTCTCCCCCTCCCCCGCTTCCTTCTCCCTCAAATAACTAGGAAATCTAAGCTACCACCCTTCTGCTTCTATAAGTCAGAAATCTGGGTCCTCTCTCCCCTGGGGTTTAGGTTCTCAGTCCCTTTTCCCACAGGGGTCAGGAGTCTGGACCCCTAACCCTCTGCTCCTTCAGAAATCTGGGCTCAAGTGGCAATCCAGAGCCTCAGTGTAGCCAGGCTGCCTGCTCAGAGCTCTCTTGTAGCTCTGGCCTCCATCTCCTGGGCCTGGATGGCAGCCACGTTCTCATAGATGTGATGTGCCACATTCTCGTAGATGTGATCTGCCACACTGTCATACTCAGCCTCGCTCTCAGCCAGGGCTGACTGCTGGAGAGCCCGCAGGATGCACTGGTGCAGGAATACATACTGGGCCTGGGGAGGAGGTATAAGGAGTGAGGGGTGCCCTCCCCTTGCCTGGGCTGCTTTGAGTCCCAGGGTCCCATATCTTTTCCCCCACCTCTACCCTGGGTCCCTCAGGGGCTCCATCACCTCCGTCTGCACCATCAGTGGCCGGCTTTCTCTCATCTTTCTCACAAAGGTGAAGGGCCCCACGAGGCCCTCGCACTCCAGCTGCCGGAGCAGGACATCCAAGGCAATGAGGGTGCCGGTGCGACCCACACCAGCACTGGCAGGACACGGAAAAGGGTCAGACCATGGTGGTAGGGAGAGTCTGGAAGCCTTGGCTGACTGGAGGGGTATCCTTTGGAGTAAGGACCCAACTATGCCTTGAGCTCTTTCAGTCCACCAGACCTTGTTCTAAGTGAAAATGATGTGCCTTTTTCACTCCTCCCAAGACTAAGAAGTAGTCTCTATTAGCATGTCCATTTTACAGATGGGAAAATGGAGGAAGTAAATCTCACATCCCAGGTTACTCAGTTGATAAGTGACAGACTCAGGGTTCAAAAATAGAAGATGAACTCCTGAGGTAATCATTTTTTAATTTCTTTAAACATAAAACTAACCATTTTATTTATTTTGTAGAAATAGGGTCTCACTCTGTTGCCCAGGCTGGAGTACAGTGGTGTAGTCACAGTTCACAGCAACCTAAGACTCCTGGACTCAGGAGATCCTCCTGCTTTAACCTCCCAAGTAGCTGGGACTACAGGCGCCCACTGCAACACCCGGCTAATTTTTCTATTTTTAGTAGAGACACTCTACTAAACTCTTACTAAGGTTGGTCTCCAACTCCTGAGCTCAAGCGATCCTCCTACCTCGGCCTCCCAAAGCACTGAGATCACAGACATAAGCTACTATACCTGGCAAAAAATTAATCATTTTAATGCAAATAGTCCAGTGGCATTTAGCATACAACATTGTGCAACCACTGCCTCCTTCTAGTTGTAAAACACTTTCATCACCTCAAAAGGAGATCCCATACGCACTAAGTGACACTCCCCATTCCCCCCACCTCCCTTCCACCCCTGGAAAGCACTAATCTGTTTCTATCTCTGTTGATTGACCTAGTCTGGATAATTCATACTAATTGAATCATATAATAATTCAGCACTGAAATGGGAAGGGTGAAGTGGATCCCACCTATAATCCTAGCACTTTGGGACACCAAGGCAGAAGGATCACTTGAGGCCAGTAGGATGAGACCAGTCTGAACAACATGGTGGTGCCATGTCTTTACAAAAATAAATTAACAAGTAAAATGGGGAAGAAATTCTTTTGTCATGCAGCTATGCTGAGGATGAGCAAGACTGTGGCTAAATGATGCATGTCAACTCTTCTAGAAACCAGAGTCCCAATTTCAGAGGCAGTCACCCCATACAAAGCAAGATCCCCTCCTCATCTCCCTAATGTTTGCATCTGGGTGAAAACTGACCTTCAGGACTGCAGCCTAAGTATCAGGAGGGCCATTAATGGGAGCTTGAGCACAAGGGCAGGTTTCAAATGTTTCTCCAACTCTCCTGCTGCTTCCTGCTCCCTCTCCTTGTACCTTCTCTTCCTTCCCCTTTTCTTTTCTTTCTTTCTCTCTTTCCTTTTTTTTTTTTTTTT